GGGGGGGGGGGGGGACGAGCAGCGAGACAGCACCAGGGCCATCCCCTGGCACGGCACATGAGGTGGTAGACGCACCGGGCGGCCTTGGTCGACATGCGATACAGAATGTTGGTCTGGGCTGGGGGGCAGCCGCCGCCGGAGGCGCCGTCCTGGGTGACCGGGAAGTTGAAGCGCCGCTGGCCGGATCGGCGCAGGGCATCGCCGTCCTCCACCGAAGCGGCGATCTTGGCCGTGACACTGCTGGTCGTGAGGGACTCGAAGCAGATCGGGGCAAAGGGCCCGGCCCCGGGGAGCGACGTGTCGTAAAGCTCGCCGAGGGTGTGTGCCGAGCCGGAGGGGCGGCGATTCCGCTGGTTGGGCTTCAGCGGCTGGAGGTCCGTCTGCCACAGCGGCGCCTCGGGGAAGCGGACCAATGGGCCATACTCCTCGTTCATGGCGGTGGAGATCTCGTAGAAGGTGGCCTCATGGGGGGTCATCGGTGGGGAGGACTTCTGGAGGATCAGGCGCTCGATGGGCGGGCTGTGCGACGGCCGTGCAGGCACACATGTCAGTGGACGGGCACATGGGGGATACGCTCGGGGGGGGGGGGGGGGGGGGGGCCCCCCCCCACAAGGCGGGGGGGAGGGGGGGGGGGGGGGGGGGGGGGGGGGGGGGGGGGGGGGGGGGGGAGGAGAGTGGTGTCAGTATGTCACAGAGGGTAGTACGTGTGCGACGGTGCGAATCGGGCGGTGTGGCCCAGCGATCCCGCCACGCGAACGCCCCGCAAGAAGCCAGACCCACGAGTCGGGTAGATCCCACGCACCAGTCGTCGAGCCGGGCACATTGAAGTCCACAAAGGAGGTGGCATGTGTTGAGGTGAAGGGATATCCGCGGGGGTGCTCGCGCTTGGCCGGCTGGGCGTCGCCGGCCGGCATGGTGGGCCGTGGCCGAGTGGGATCCGGTGCGGGGTCGCGCGCGGGCTGCTGCTGCTGCTGTTGCTGGGCGGCCGTGGCCGTGGGGGTGGCCGTCGGCGGCGGGGCGGTGGTCGTGGCTGTTGGGCTGGCGCTGGCCGTCGGCGAGGGGGGGGCCGGCGTGCGGACCGTGGGCGCGGGCGTGGCTGTCCCCGCTTGTGATGGGGAGCTCAGCACGGGGTCCAGGCCGGGAAAATCGAACAAGGACATTGGGGGAAACGCGCGTGGGAACGCACGCACGCACGACCAGCCCCCACCTCCTAGACGCAAAACAGCGCAGTAAATTTGGGCTCGGGTATTATTTCTCTCTCTCTCTCTCTCTCGCCCTTGCTCCCTCCTGCTTACTCTTGCTCTGTGCGCTTGCCCTCCCCTGT